TTAAATTCAAACACACTAAAACTGAGGACTTCTGTTTATCAATAGATACTACAAAATTTTAAATTCAAGGCACAAACTGGAAAATATTACATGGAATAACAAAGGATTCATATTCAAAATATACAAAGAACTACAAGTCAGCAGTGAAAAAGTGAAGAACCACATCTAAAATCAGGAAATAGACATGAACAGGATAGTTTGTGCACATGTAAGTATCACACTATAGTAATCGTTGTTCATCAGAGAAACGTCAACTAACAACACTAATAACATGTTATACCGACAAAAATTCATCTGTCTGATGATACCAAATATTGACAAGGAGATAAGATAATTGAGAACACTTAAACAGGGCTAGTGGAAGTGAAACCTGACAGCCACTTTAGAAATCAATTTAACATTATCTTGGGGAATTAAACAAACACATACTCTATGACCCACTAATTCAACTCCTAGGTTGAATCTTTCATATACGTGGGAATAGACATGCTCCAAATGACTCACAGCAGCACTGTTTATAACAGAAAACGAGCCAACCTAGAAAGAACTCAAATATCTATCAACAGGAGAAAAGATAGTTTATCACAGAGAATGCTGTGTAGCAGTAAAAATGAATGCTATATGCATCCTTGTGTTGAATAAAAAATCAAGTTGAATAAAGGAAAACAAGATACCATGTTTATATAACTCAAAATGAAATAATATATTCTTAGAGAAAAAATATATATGTATATATATATATATATATGATAAAATTATTTTTAAAAAAGGCAAGGAAATGACAACCATCTTCTATCTAGAAGAGAAGAGAGGACAGACCTGGACGCTAGCATATAGTACTGGGCATATATCTTTAGTTGGGTGGTAAGTCCAAAGGTGTTTGTTTTATTATTTTGTTTCATAACTTGCTTATATAGTATATATATTTTCCTATATATATTAAATATTACACTTTTTTTAGAAATAGAAGAGAAAGTAAAACAAATACTCAAAAACCACCTCTTCATAAAAGGGCTGACTATATGACAGAGTTCAACAGACCTTCAAGAAAAGGCTAATTCCTCTGTTACTTAAACTGTTTCAAAGCACACTAAAAGATGAGAAACTTTTGAATTCATTTTACAAAACTAGCAAAACCCTTGTCTAGCACGATAAAGGAGAGCCATGAACAACAGTACTCATTTAAAAAAACCCAAATTCAAAATAAAATATTCACAAATCAAATCTAATAGTGAATTTAATGAATAAATCACCATGACTAAGATAGTTCCAAGAATGCAAAGAGTGTCCAATATTAAGAAATGTACTAATATAATTCACTTTTTAAAATTTATTTTTTAATTCAATTAGTCAAGGTATAGTACATCACGGTTTTTTTATATAATGTTCAATGATTCATCAGTCAGTATAATTCACTTTTTAAGTAGATTAAAGGAAAATACCACATTAGCACTTTGTGAAGGCAGACAACGTTTGCTCAAATTGAACAACACTGCTGATAAAAACTTAGGAAATTGTCACTGGATAGATCTGATCTACCTAAAACATCTGGCAGGCATCACACTTAGTGATGACAGAGTAGAAACTTTCCCATTTACATCTGGTAGATGAGAATGTTCACTTTCATTGCTCTGATTTAACACTGGGTACTGGAAGTCCTAGCAATTGCAAGAAGACAAGAAGTAGAAACAGGAAGTACCAGGTATCAGAAAAGAAGAAGCAGAATTGTCATTATTTGCAAGTTGTAGGCCTATACACACAGAGGCAGATACAGGTAGGCATACACACACATCTGTATGTAGTCATATACACACACGTGTGTGTAGGCATATATCCACATGCGCATATGGTCATATACACACATATGTATGTAGCCATATACGCACATACACTCATAGACACACATGCACATATGCACACACCCTTGTGCTTAGAAATGTGTAGATATGGTTCCAGAAGAACAAATGCCAAGTTGTTAACGATGGTTTCATCTGGGGAGGGAGGAAGGATTGGGAAGGGAGTGAGGGTAAAGAGGAACCTTTAAGTTTTCATTCTTTGCATTTCTTGAATTTGTTTCTATAACAACCATAGCTTTCCTAATTTAGAAGAAAAACAATTCAAAATGTTGTAAGTCATACGGCTGGACATGGTAGACCCAAGGCTCAAACTCCGTTCTTGCATTATCGAGTTAGCTCCACATAGTTGGTAGTTCATTTTGGACATCAGAAAGCAAAAGAAAGGTCGAGCCACTGAGAATTGTGCACAAAGAATCAGTCACTAAGGGCATTGCATGGATCCTTCATTTCTATTTGCCACAAATAAACTAAATAGACTAAAATCTATTAGTACGGAAAAAACTACAAAGACTAAAATCATGGCTAGCTTAAGGCTACCACTACTTACAAAGCAACTCTACAATGATTATTTAATTTATTTTAATCCTTAAACAATTTCAATAATGTATGACCATGAAAATGTCGCACAATAGTAATCTAAATGGCATGTCATAAAACATAAAATTAATCTTAAGACTGTAGATACGTAATTTCTGGAACTATCAAAAGCACAGAGAAAAACTCCAACCCTAGGGATCCGGGGACAAGCCTTTTCCTGCCACATCCCCGTACAACGTATGCTTCTGTAATCTGAACCAAGCATTGTTTCCAGAACATGTCATGTTCTTTCTAATTTCTGGGGCTCTGTAGATGTTTTCCCTCTGCCTGGAATGTCCTCCCTCCCTCTTTTCCCACTTAAAATGCCTACCCATCTGTGAAGAAAAGAGTTAACACATCAGACCTGAGTGCTCCTTTTAAAAAGACCTGCCTAACAAGGCCACTGACTGGTGTCTGGGAATGGATTTGGGGAGGGTTCCCACCATTCCCAGGACTGGTGAAAGTGGCTCCCTGTGCCCACATTGTACTAACAATATGTTTATGCTGAACACCCTGCTTGCCTTCTGGAAATCTGTACTGTTGGGACACGGCAGGCAGAAGGTGCCTATGTGGCCAGCCTCCCACAAAAACCGTAGGTGCCAAGTCTCTAACAAGCATCCTGGTTGACAACATTTCACACATGTTGCCATAACTCATCGCTAGGGGAATCAAGTGTGCCCTGCATGACTCCATTCGGAGAGGACCCCTGGAATGTCGCGCCTGGCTGCCCCCAAACTTCACCCAAGCACCTTGCTCTGTAGCCTTTCTCTGTAATAAATCACAGCTGTGAGTGCAACTATGCGCCGAGTTACTCAATCACTGTGCATCACTGAACCTGGGGATTGTCTTGAAGAGCCCGGATACACAACCCGTCGAGTCTCAGTTCAAATATGACACTGTTTGTGGCATTTCTTTTCACTTCGTTAGGCAGATTTCACTGCTCCTTTGCCTCTCTGTCTCTGCTCTTGCAGTTACAGAGGATTTCGTATTGCATGATCATTAACTGTTTGCACTCTGTGCCCTTTTTCGAGGGGAAGCTCATCAAAGACAAAGGCCTTCTCTTTTTCACCTTCCTTTCCTGAGCATCTAGCTGGTACACCCTGGCAGCATGTGCAGTAGTAAGCATGTGAGCGCCAGTAAGTGCTGCTTACGATGCCTAAAACACCAAGCTAAGAGCTGTACACACACTATCATGTTCGATCCTTCCAACCACCTCTTGAAGTAGCTACTACTACTATCCTCCTGGTAAAAATAAAACCAGAGGGGTTACATCCCAGATGATATGCAATTTTCTCTTCACTTTGTTAGGCAGATTTCCCTGCTCCTTTGCCTCTTTTAGGTTTTTAGGTTTTTGCAACAACCTAATTCTGAAAAATGGTTCAGAGAGCGTTTTGCGCATTTGGAGTAGATTTATATGATAAAGCATTAGAAATGGAGAAGTTGGGTCAAAGAGCTATTTCTTATTTATTTTTAATGTCAAAAAATTAATCTTTTAAAAAAGTTTTTATATAAATCCCAGTCGGTTAACAGTGCAATATTAGTTTCAGGTGTACGATACAGCGAGTCCACACTTCCCTACAACACCCGGTGCTTGTCTCAACAAAAATTGAGATATCACTCACATACCATAAAATTTGCTCTTTAAAAAGGTACAATTCAGTGCTTTTTTAGTACAGTCACAAGATTGTGACCACAATCTGTACCCTTTACATTGATTTTTTTTTAAAGATTTTATTTATTTATTTGACACAGAGAGAGAGAGAGAGCACAAGCATGGGAAGCAGCAAGCAGAGGGAGAAGCAGGCTCCCCGCTGAGCAAGGAACCCCATGTGGGACTCGATCCCAGGACCCTGGGATCATGACCTGAGCCGAGGGCAGACGCTTAACTGACTGAGCCACCCAGGCGCCCCTACATTGATTTTTAATTTTAATTTTCAATGTTGATAGGTTTTGCCATATTGTTTCATCAAAATTAACATAAACATCTTTTGACCCACTTCTAGAACTGTTTTGATTTCCTCTCCCTCTGCCTCCTCACACATAACAGTATCTCATTGGCCTTATCTGAGGAGGTTAAATCCAAATTCAGGAAAGAAAATGCACCCTTCCACTCCCACATACCATCCTGTGGCGTCCAGCAAACAAACTGGATCCTGGCGTGTTTCGCACCCTGGCGAATGCACCAGAAGTCCAGCCTGACTTTACAGTCCTTTACATTCTTCGGGGGATGCACACAATCCCTCCACGTGAACACTGCTTCTCTCCTCATTTTGACAAGGCCAAAGCTTTCTGGTGACCTTAATGTTCTTACGAGGTCATGAGAACCTAATGCTCCTGCAACTGGAAAATCAAGGAAAGAACAGTCCTTCCCTGTGTTTGTTCTCAAACCCATGCACCCACACCATACCACACTGTTTGTCCTTGGTTCACCGTCACCGGGGCCAACAGTGCCAGCAACAGGACGCCAAATAAGGCTTGCTTGGAATAACAGCCCCTCCTCCCACCACCTGCTAGCCCCTGCTTATCTGCAAGGACTTCACACCCTAGAAAACGGACTCTGAGCTTCTCCCCAGAGCTCGCCGCCTGGCTTCCAGCCCCACGCTAAGCCACAGGCAGCTCTAAGCAACACTAGGTGCACAACCCTCCCTTCCCCTTTTTTCCTTTTCCTCGTGTGTTTTTATGAACATCCAAAGGGAAGATAATTAAAACCTGCAAGAACACCGGCTGGCAGCGAAAAAGAAAATCTTGGTGACTCGGGGACGACGCCACATGTTTATGGGTGAGTCTTGTAAGTAACAGGGCTATAAAAAAAAAGAGGCTCTTATAAATAAATGCCACATTCTTCAAAGCTCTATATAAACGGCATTCTTTTCAAGGAGGGAGGGGAGCTACTGGCATACTCATGGTCCTTCCTCATCATTTCATTTCCAGCAAGGGGAAAGGAATCCTAATTGTACAATTTCCTAGCGGCCCCGTAGTTATGCAGCCAAGGCTCCGCAAGGGACGGGTGCCCGGGCGCGCGCATGCGCACACGCGCGCTCCCAAGCCAGGAGCCAGAGAAGAGGACCAGGCGCCCGAGGGTCTGTATTTAGCGTGGCAGGGCAGAACAAAGGAGCAGGAGAGCAGGCATCTCGTCACCTCCCTCCCACTGGGTTTGCTGGCTACTAAGCACTCACACTTGAGCTCGAAAGACAGAAGTTGTGCCTTTCTCTCCAGAGTGCTGAGGGCTGGCCGAACAGCATCAAGATTTGGGTGAGCCAGTGTAATCCCCTTTCGTTTTTCATCTGCTTTGCCGATTGTAAAGAGAAACAGGGCCGCCCGCGCTCTGCATGTGACATAAGGCTTGAGGCACACACATTCCAGAGTGGCCTTCCCCGGGAGCCAGCTGTGCGCAGGTAACTGAAGCCTGCCCTTAGCCTTGCTGTTAATAAGAGTAATTGGCCCGCCACTGAGGGGCTGCTGGAGCGCTGTGATTTGCTCTGCACGGGGGTCTCCCCATACCATATGGGCAGGCAGCGGTGATAGAAATATTTTCCATATGAGCTCTCCTTTCACATGCTTAAGTGCTCCAGGCTGAGTTAGGCTGGCCCATTTGTCATTTACTCTACACAGTAAAAAATCAACAGGGAAGTTGCAAACCCTGGCTACAACTAGAGGGCAATGGTCTGCTTTCAGCTTTCCAGCATCGCAAACCCATTCAGTTCCTCCAGCTCCCATTCAAGCCCTCGGACAACCCCCCCCCCCCCGCCCGCCCGGGCCGCACCCCTCCACCCCACCCACGCCTCCACCCCAGGTCCAGAGAATATCTGCAGAGCAGAGGACACAGGTAACTAATAGGCTCAAAGCCTGAAGCAAATGACCCGTTGCTGCACACCTCGGAGCCACATGTCTCTTTTGAACCCACGGCTAGCCCTGCAGCCAGGCTTTGGGAGCCTGCTCTTGCTTCCACTCACGGAGAAGGGAAAGTCATTACGTGAAGCTTTCAGAGCCTGCTCCGTCCTGACAATGCTAACAAAAGGCAAAGCTGTGATGTGGTCCCTGGCCTTTTTAGGAGACAGTCTTTTCACTTGGCTTTTCAAGAGGAAGATGGATTCCAGAAAGAGACTGTTCTTCCATTCATTACTCGGGCCTCAGTCTTTGAGATCTTTCATCAGAATAAAGAGTACAAGGAGCGGATGAGGCAAATTTGTTGCAGCCTTATTTGCAGGTGAGGGTGGATACACCTAAGTGCTTCCTCTCCAGACCACATGGTCCCCCCTTCCAGTCTCTTTGCCTGCATCAAGACCTGGCTCCCAGGGCATCTATGATGTTCAGAAATGTATCCAGTAAACATATGAGCTAGACCCATAAGAATAAATCACCCTCGAGGGCCTTAAACATGCCTCCCTGCCTTAGTAGCTCTGGGCATATTCTAGCCCTGTCATGTATCACCATCCCGCTACAAACCTATAATCCAAAGTTAAACACAGATTTTTCCAAGCACATCAAAGCAAAAGGGAGGAAAATGTGATGCAAAAGCAGTAAAGAAAAGCATTTCCTCTAGCACGCGTATCCTCTCTGCAACACTGGAGAAAAATTTTCAAAAGGTAACAGTCCCTATCGGAATCTGACACGCACATTTATTTTTCTGCAACGGCAGAAGGAGAAATGTGCACGCTCCAGGCATCTGTCACCGAGGCCATGCCAACTCCCCAGTGTGGCAACTGTACAGACAACCTCAGAATGAGCTTTTAGAAATGACGGGATTCTTCAAGAAGAAAAGAAGTCTTTCTGTAAGAAAAGGCAAAGCAAGCCTGAAAACGCAATATAAAGCATTACTCGTCGCGCACCATAAAAAAACCCGTTCCCTGATCCCTCTTGGTAGATAGAAAAGGAAATATAGTGCTGACAAAAATACAACTTCTGACAAGATATTTTATTTGGCTTACCTCTCCCCCAGGTCTTGCTAACACTGCTGTTTGAACGTGGAGCAATGTTAATATCAGGTAGCTGACAAACATTATTACCCAAAGTTAGAACTACCCTAGAGGAGAACTCCGTCTGCCAAGTGCTAACAGCTAGCAGATGCACTTGTGTCTCGGGATTCCAGCCCTGGAGTTCCGCTAGGCACCGCGCTGGTTCCCTCTGCTCTCCCTCACGGTACTACCCGGAGCTCCGAGCTCAGCCTCTGCTCTGAAGAAAACTGGTAAGCTGATCTCTTCATGTAATAACTTCTCCCGGCTGGGGGAGGGGACAGGAGCCAGCTGGGAGCTGGGGGGCTGCCTTGAACAGAAAGCAGAAAGGGGAGGGACAGAAGTCAATGTGGAGTTCTGCATCTGGTCTCATTCATGAAACGGGCTCCAAGGTAAGCGCTCCGCATGCAGGGGAAAGACCCCTGCTTCATCAGGAGGCAGTGAACTGCAGCAGGATGAGCTCCAGGCTCGGAGCTGGGAGACCTGGGGCCTTCCTAGGCCAGGATCTGCCGCTGACAAGCTGTCTGCCCGGGGACGCTGCCAACCCATTCTGGGCTTCAGTTGGTTTTCTCGCAGCTACGGTCAAGGGCTGGGTAGATGACCTCTGGGTTCCCTTTCAGTTCTGACTTGAAGGCTGTAGAACTCTGGGCAGTCAAAGGCTGCGTTATCAAGGGCAACCTCGAAGGGGAAAGAAATCACAAGGGTGCTGTGTGTTTATGCACTGATCATGTGGGCATTCATGGATGGGGACCGAAGAAGCCGCTCTATCCCCGCTCTGGCTGCCTCCCTGGGTCAGTGTGCCTAACCAAGAGCTTGAGGAATTCTTGCAGATGATGTAAAAAATAAATGATTAGTGGGAGCAAGTGAAGCCCGGGTGCTAGATGGCGCTGGCACAGTGCACTGAAAAGCAGGATGGTTTTCAAGAAATACCTCTGGGTAGAATCAGTTGACCATCAACGTGGGGCTTGGGGACATAGGGAACACGGGAGTGGGCCGGGAAGTGGGTCCTGCAAAAGCCTACAGTCTACTTGAGATGCACCCTAAGTGGCCACCTCTTATTATGAAATAGCAGGGCCCATTGTCTAAAATAGGTGGAGAACCCACCAAGTATTAGATTCTGCTTAGGATGGGCTCCAGAAAGCATTCTGAGGCCAAGGAGGGGATGCCAGCATGATGCAGTGGAACGGCCTGGGCCCCGGAACCAGGGAGACGGTTCAAAGCCCAGGTCTACCACGAACGCCCTGTGGGTCTGTGGGAGAGTATTTAACTCCAGTGAGCCCCGGCTGCCCCACCTGTGAAATGGGGAAGGGCCACCTGATGGTTTGGATGACCGTCAGTGAGGTCACCAAGGCACAACAGGTGGCATAGTTCTTGACACACAGTAAGTGCCGAAGACATCAGCTTTCCTTCTGATCTGAAATTAATATCGACACTCTGTCCCAGAAAGGAAGTTAATCAATCCTTGAAAAGCCTCGGGTTGTGGGCATTTTTCTTGCCTCAATTAGGAAACTTTAAACCAACTGTAGTTTGTAACCATCTCAAAATGTTTTTTATCACCAGTCACATGACAATTTACTAGTGGGTTGTTTTGTGGGGGGGGGGCGGCTGGGTGAAGGGGCTTAGAATCCCTTAGAATCCCTTTTTCCAAGGCTAGAAGAGACAGAAAGTTGGAGATAATATCTCCATTGAGAGAAAGGAAGGACGGACTTTCTTCTCTGCCCCCTCCTCCTCTTCTACCTCCTTCTTGTTCATTATTATTATTACTGGTTAGCCTTGGTTACTGCTAGCTGGCAGGGAGGGGCACTGTCATCTGCTCAACAACATCCCCAGAAATGCAGGCATCGTCTAAGAAAGCCAACGTTCTCGAAAGACCAGGGGTTCTTGTCTGGTCCAGGGTTTGGGAAACTTTCTGAAAAGGGCCAGAAAGTAAATATTTTTGGCCTTGCAAACCATATGGTTTCTGTGGCAACTATTCAACCCTATTGTTGTCACACACAAGCAACCGGAGACAAAATACGCACTAACGGGTGGGGCTGCGTTCCAAAAAACTTTATTTACAGAAACAGGAAACAGGCCAGATTTGGCCGTAGTTGGCCAGCCTCTGGAATAGGCAACTTCCCAATCGTCCTTCAACCCACTGCAATCTGACTTTTGACCTCTGCTCTCCAACAAGGGCTCTGGAAATGTCTCCGGTGACCCCGCTGTCATAAAATGCAGAGGCTAATTCATGGGGCTTATCTTATTTGACTTCTCTGCAGCATTAACCACGTCCTCGATTTTTTAATATTACAGTACAATACGCGCGCCATAAAATGTTACCAGTTTCGACATTTTTACGTGTACAGCTCAGTGGCATTAAGTACATCCACAGTGTTGTGCAACCATCAGCACCATCCATCTTCAGAACTTTTTCATCACCTCAAGCGGAAACTCTGCATTCATTAAGCAATAACTCCCTGATTCTCCCCTCCCCACATTCCTGGTAATCTCTACGTGACTTCCTATCTCTGTATGAATTTGCCTCCTCTAGATTCCTCATCGAATTGCAATCATACAATATCTGTCCTTTTGTGTCTGACTTATTCCACTTAGCATAACATTTTCAAGGTTCATCCGTGTCATACCATGTATCAGTACTTCATTCTTTTTAAGGCTAATATTCTGTCGTATGTATGTAATACCACATTTTGTTGATCCATTCGTTTGTTGATGGACACATGGAGTGTTTCCACCTTTCGGCTCTTGTGAATAACGCTGCTATGAACATGAGTGTGCAGGCCCCTGGTTGAGTCCCTGCCTTCCATTCTTTGGGGCACATACCAAGGAGGGAATTGCTGTATCATATGGTAATTCTATGTTTGACTTTTTGAGGAACACCCAACTGCTTCCCACAGTGGCCGTATCATGTTATATTTCCACTAGCAATGCGTGAAGGTTCTAATTTCTCCATATCCTTTCTAATGCTTGTTATTTTCCACTTTTTTGACAAGAGCCACCTTCAGGGGTATGAAGTCCTTTTGGAACCACTCTCTTCCCTTTGCTTCCAGACCACCATGCTCCTATTTTCCTTTGCCTCCAATTAGCCAACATTCTTTGAACACCAAGAGCCCAGCATTATTCTAGGAACTTTCCATATAGTGTGTCACATAACCCTGACAACAGCCTTATTAGATTAAAGAGCCTGTTCCATGTCACACAACAGGTAGGTGGCAGAGCCAATATTCTGACCCTGGCAGCCTGCTTCTAGGACCTAGCTCCCAATGACTACATTGTGCTGTCACCACTTTCTCTGGACACGCTCCAGTCCCCTTGCTACCTCCTGGCCCTATTCCCCTAAATGGTTGTGTTCTATGCCCTCTCTTCTCCGTCCCCTCTCCCTGGGTCATGTCACCCTCTCACTGGTCCCAACCACTCTTTATATGCCAACAGCTCTCCACAGCAGTCTACAGCCAGCTCTCCCCCCTGACCTGCCAGCCTATGTATCCAGTTGCCTAATGCATACTTGGATCTCTCAGATGTACCTCAAACTCAACAGTAGACTCCAAGACTGAACTGCTTCCCCGACCCGTGTTCTTCCTGTTATCTCCATCTCAGTGAATGACATCATCACCCATCTCATTCCCAGAGGTTGAAAACTGAGTGTTATCTTGAGTCCCCCTACTGCCTCACTTGCTTGTCTAAACCATCACCTGGTCTGATTGAGTTTTCTTCTAGAGATTTCTGCAACCTGCCCATGGCCTCAGACTTCTGCCCTTGCTCCCCTCCAGGCCTCCACCATCTGTTCCTGACTTTTTATAGCCTGACCTTGTAAGCTCTTGCTCTTGTCTGTCCCCTTCTAGTCTTCTTCCCCACTGCCACCACTGGCATTCTTCTAAAATGTGAATCTAATCAAGTCACTCCTCTGATTCTTCCTTGTTTAACTTTTTATTTTGAAATAATTTTATATTTACAGAGTAGTTGCAAAGATGGCACAGAGTCATGGTATATCTTTCCCCAGCTCCTTGTAATGTTAACGACTTAGACAGCGATGATCTGCACATTTCTGCAGACTAGGACATTAACACTGGCCCAGAATTAACTAACATAAGGACTTTACTCACATTTTCCCAGTTTTCCCCCAAATGTCCTTTTTCTGTTCCAGGACCCAGGCCAGGATCCCCCGGTGCACTGAATCCATGTGACTCCTTAGCCTCTTCTGGTCAGTGACGGTGTTCCACCCTTTGTTTCTCATGACCTTGACACTTTTGAAGAGTACTGGTCAGGAATTTTGTGGAATGTCCCTCAGTCTGGTTTTTACCTGGTGTTTTCTCATGATTAGACTAAAGTTACAGGTTTTGGGTAATAATACTGTAGAGGTGAAGTATCTTTCCCATCACATTGTCAGGGGTACCCTCTATGAACATGACATGCTGGTGACGTCAACCTTGATCGCTTGGTTAAGGTGGTGTCTGCCAGGTTTGCTCACTGTCGAGTTATTTTTCCTTTTCTATACCCTATTCGTTAGAAGTGAGTCAGTAAGTCCAGTGGAATTAAGCTCCACTTCCTGGAGGGGGGTGTATCAAAGCACGTTTGGACAGATGTTAAAACCATCATAATAATTAATACATTTTTGGAGACAGACACTTTGGGGCTATGCAAATATCCCAGTTCTCAAAGTTCTGCCCTCCAATTTAATATTCATCAGTAGCTCTTGCCTGTAGCAATTATTATTGTACTGTTTTAAGTGGTGATTTTCTGTTTTCCTCATGCCTTCTACATTATCTACGAATCAGAATTCACCGGGATGGAAGATTTGTTTCTCCTCCCACCTTTATTAATTCAATCATTTATGTATTCTTCCCCACTTCTTAAAATCTTTTGATGGCTCAAGGAAGAAGTCCAAGCTCCTTAATATGACACTTGCAAGGCTGTTTGCAATCTGGTCTCTTCCTGCCCTTCCAGCCTCCTCCCCCCTCTCTTCTGGCCACATCCCCCACTCTCCAGACATCCTGACATACAAGAAATTATCCTCAAATGTCATGTGTCCTTGTGCTCTGGGCCTTCCTGCCTCATGCTATTCCCTTTCTCTAGAATGTCATTTTCCATCTTCACTGGGTTAGCTCCATCATTCTTTGCCTCTTTGAAAACTCTGCTTGCATTGTTTATAAGCACCAAATACTGGAAACCACCTACATGTTCAGCAGTAAAGACTAAACGAATAATGTTGCTATGAACATGAGTGTGCAAGCTGGGATACTCTACAGCAGTAAAATGAATAAACAAAAGAAAAAAATGAGCTTGCTTCCTGTGTAATGATACGAAACATCTCCAAGATCTATTATTAAGCAAGAAAAGTAGGATGCACAACGATGTGATTGCCATCCACTATTTGTACATGTATGTTTACGATTGCTCCTATCCTATCAACTATCTATGGAAGAACACACTAGAGACTAGCAAAAATTGGCTGCCTGCAGGGAGTGGAAGTCAGCAGCTTCAGGGCAGAAATGGCAGGGCAACTGATTACTTTGTAGTCACTTAGTCACCTGTGAACACTGAGCACTTGAAATGGGGCTGTTCCAAATTGTGATGCGTTATATGTAAGGTACACTTTGTACCCGTTCAAAGACTTGGTACAAAAAAAAGGAATGTAAAGCATCTCGTTAATAGTTTTTATGCTGATTAGATGATGAAATGATAATTTTATATATATTGGGTTAAATAAAATATAGGATTAAAATTAATTTTCCTTGTTTTGTTTTACTTCTAAAAGATGTGGCTACTAGGAAGATTTTATTTTTTAAATTTTTTATATTTTAAAGATTTTACTTACTTATCTGAGAGAGAGAGGGAACATGAGCAGGGTGAGGGGCAGAGGGAGAAGGAGACTCTCTGCCGAGCAGGGAGCCCGATGTGGGGCTCGATCCCAGGACTCTGGGATCATGACCTGAGCCGAAGGCTGATGCTTAACCAACTGAGCCACCCAGGAGCCCCTACAAGGAAGATTTTAAATCACATCCTGTCTTCTATTGGATAGCCCTTCTATAACCTTTTCATACTTACTGAATTATGAAACATGTGAATCAACTCCTATTCCAAAAGTAAATAAAAGTGAAGTAACAGTAATAATAACAATTAATGATATAAATAAATAAATACACAAATCCCCCTCCTCCCAATGATCTGCTCACATGTCACCTTTTCTGGGAGTTGTGCCTCACTAGGCTCCCTGCCAAGCTGAGGGCAGTGCCCCTGGCCTCTGTCCTCAGGCATCTTCTGATGACCTTCAACATGTCTGCCTTCCTCAACAGAGAGCAAGGCCTTGATGACAGGAGATTGTCTTTTTGTGTTCCCAAGACTCTGCACATGGTCAGCCTTTGAATAAGGCTGTTTGAATTGAATATGTCTGCTGAACAGGGAATGGATACAGGGGAGGATCCAATGGGAAACTCTCGTCAGCTTGTGACAGGAGGTCTTCTGATGGTGCGTCTTCCAAACCCCAAAGGGGAAAAATGAAAAGGAGAAATTCTCAGAAGGTACACCCCTCAAGGAAACACAAATAATTTCCAACCTAACTTTTGGGGGACCTAGACAGAATATAAGTGAGTGGAGGACACAGGAGTATCAAAAAACTGAGAAACAAATGTTTTTCTAAAGCCACACATTTCATGTAAAACGTAATCACGCACTTCTGTCTTCGTAACAACAGAGTGACCCCATAGCAGATAGCACCTCTAAGGCTATTTTATTTCCCTTAAAAAATGTCTGTCCCTTTATAAAGGAAGAAGTGAGATGCAGCCCTCTCCACAGAGGTATATACTGTATGGTTAAGCTGTTAAAATTATGTTTATTTCCTTAAATATGCCTACGTTGTGGGGAATAGGTGGGGAAAGCCTCTGTCAAGAAGTTGCTGATGGGGCTGGGAGCAGAAGCAGGTGTTAGTAATTAACTCTCCCTTTGTGTGGACCGAGGAGCCATTAAGTAGCCAAGGGATCGGGAAATGAACAAAGCGAAGATGAAAATGCGTTCTCAGTCCCACTGCCCTTGAACAGAAGGAAAGTCACGAGAGCCTAAAACAAAGGGAGTCAGCGCATCCTTCCCTTTCTCCAGTGTCTGCCTGAGAGGGCAGCTGTGCGCTTAGGCTAAGCACCTCTCTGGGTCGCTAAAAGGAGGGCTATGCGCCCTGGGTCGGCTTTGAAGCAGCGCCAGAGACTGTCAGGGAGGTGCTCGCACAAAGTGCACAGGGCAGGCTCACCCGACGTCTGAGAGCATGTTGTGCATCAGGGCCATTCTTGGGCTGACCAAGTCTTTATTTCACATCTTCACGGCAGAAGTTCTCACATCGTGGTCCCCGGATTAACATCACCAGGGAATTGTCAGAAATGCAAACACTGGGGCGCCTGGGTGGCTCAGTCAGTGAAGTGTCTGCCTTTGGCTTAGGGTCCTGGGATCGAGCCCCACGTCGGGCTCCTCACTAAGTGGGGAGTCTGCTTCTCTCTCTGCCTGCCGTTCCCCCTGCTTGTGCTCTCTCTGTCTCCCTCTCTCTTAAATAAATAAATAAAATAGTAAAAAAAAAGGAAATGCAAATACTTACTGAATCCATGGCAGCTGGGGGCCCATGGATCTGTGCCGTAATAAGCCCCACGGAGTCCCGCTAAAGTTCGAGAACTGCTCCAAGCCACAGTTCTCTATCTAGCAACCCTTAATTCAAGTTGTAGAACTTAAAAATATTGTTTTATAAAAATACGTTTTCTTAGCAAATGTGACTATTAGATATTAAAGCACGGTCTAGAGTTGTAATAGTTAAAACAGTGGCGAATACTAGCAGAATAGGGAAGACGGATTATTTCCATAGCTGAACATGGAAAGGATTTAATGCGCAGCCAACGAGCCATTTCAAGACAGCAAGGAAAGGGTGACAAAGGCTGAGAATACTGCTAACCACTTGGCAAATAAATAGAGTTATTTTCCTGCTTTGCAGCATATGCCAAAAATAAGTGGCAGGTAGATTCAGGATTTTAATGCAAACAATGGAAGTACGAAATCAATACAAGAAAATAGGCCAACATTGCTATATTCTTGGAGCCAGGAAGGACTTTTAAGCAAGGCTCTAATAAAGGCAGAAATCATAAAGGGAAGGATTTAAACAAATTTTTAGGATTCTGTACATTAAAAATAGCGTGAGTGAAATTAAAAGTCAAATACACAGTAGAAAATGTATTGATCTTATTTATTTGCTAAGATATCAGTACCTATTGTGCTGGAACCTGGAGGTGTAGTTATCAGCAAAAGCAGAGTCCATTCCTATCCTCACAGACCTTACTGGCAGGTGTAGGAGACCAACATTAATAAGACCCCAAAAGTAAATCTGAAATTGCAATGTGGAAAGGGCTGAAGAGGAAAGATGTGTGGGGAGCTAGAGGCCTGTCCTCATTGGAGAAAAGTGGGAAAAATGGAGAAGGTGGGAAAAGTCTCAAAAAGTCCTATTCCATTTTTTGAAGAAAATCAAACCCACGATAAAAGCACTTGCATTAGCAGCAAATGGCTTTCCTGAGGACCCAAGAGGAAGGAGGTGCGTGCGGATGGAGAGAGTGAGCAAGTGGGGGCACCGCATAGCATTAGGCTCAAGGCCAAGAGGGGGCTGTTTCCTATTGAAAAATCTGTTTGAAGGACTGAGGCAGCCGTTACATGATTAGATTTGCATTTTGAAAGGCCACTCCGTAATGGAAAAAGGGCTGGAGAGGGGCAAGACTGGAAACTGGGAGACGAGGTAGGAGAGGAAGGCTGTGGGCCAGATGAAAAGGGAGAAGAGCTTAAACCAGGATGGTGGAAAGAAGTGCATAATTTCAGTGATAATTTACAACACAGATAATGGAAAAGGGTTTATGCCCATCATTATTTAAAAAACCCATATATCAGATAAAGACTATTTAATAGTGAAAGGCTGGAAGCAATGTAAATAAACTATGGTATCTTCAAAAAGTGAAATCTTATCCAGTCATTCAAAATGACCATGTCATATATTGGTGGATATGGGCACCTTTGGTGTTATATTGTTTTAACACATAAATGGAAGGATAGTCTTTTCAGCAAATGGTGCTGGGATGACTGGATATCCACATGCAAAAGAATGAAGGTGGACCCTCACCTAACACCACGCACAAAAATTAATTCAGAATGGATCACAGATTGTGGCAGGCGGGATAATGAAAATGTTACATTAGGTGGCAAAGGGGAATTAAGAGAGCAGATGGAATTAAGGTGACTAATCAGATGATTTTGAAAGAGGGAGATTATCTTAGGATACCCAGGTGGGCCCAAAGTAACCCCAAGGGTCCTGAAATGTGGAAGAGTGAGAATGAAGAGGAAGTGGGAGTGATTCAATGTGAGAACTCAGCGTGCCATTGCTGGCTTTGAAGATGAAAGGGAGCCGTGAGCCAAAAGAGGCAGGCAGCCTCTAGAACACGGAAGAGGTAAGAAGGCAGGGATTCTTCCCTACAGACTCCACAAGGAATGCAGCCTTGTCGACACTTTGATTTTAGCCTAGTGAAACCCATTTCAGACTTCTGACTTCCAGAGCTATAAGAAAATCAATTTGTATCGGGTTACTGACTCAAATGTGGGAGCTAAAACTATAAAACCCTTAGAAGAAAACATCAGAGTGACTTCATGACCTGGGGTCATGATGGTTTATTAGATACGACACCAAAAGCACCAGTGTCAAAGGGAAAAAAAAATGGGACTTCATCAAAATTGAAGACTTCTGGGGCGCTGGGTGGCTCAGTTGGTTAAGCATCTGCCTTCAGCTCAGGTCGTGATCCCAGGATCCTGTGATCAAGACCCTCATCAGGCTCCCTGTTGAGAGGAGCAGCTCCCCTCCCCCTTTCCCACTGCCCCCTCCTTGCTCATACTCTCTCTTTCTCTCAAATAAGTAAGATCTTAAAAAAAATGGAAGACTTCTATGCTGCTAGTGATATCAAGAAAATGAAAAGATAAACCACAAAATGGGAGAAAATATTCACAAATCATATGTCTGATAAGGGACTTATATCCAGAATATATAAAAAATTCTTACAACGTAATAATAAAGAGATAATCCAATTAAAATAGGCAAAGGACTTGGATAGCCATTTCTCCAAAGAAGATACACAAATGGCCAATAAGCACATGTAAAGATGCTCAACATCATTAGTCATTAGGGAAATGAAAATCAAAACCACATTAAACCACTTCATACCCACTAGTCAAAAATACAGGTAATAAAAAATGTTGGTGAGAATATGCAGAAATTGGAACCCTCAAGCACTACTGGTGATAATGTAAAATGGTGCATCACTATGGACCACAGTTGGGCATCTGCAACGTAAAGTTAAATGTAGAGTTACCACAATACCCAGAGATTCTGGTCCTACGTACATATCTAAGAGAAATGAAAACATAGGCCTACGTGAAAACTTGAACATGGATGCTCATGGCAGCAATATTCATTCATAATAGCCCCAAAGTGGAAACAACTCAAGTGTCCATCACAGGATGAAGGGATAAATAAAACGTGGTATACCCGTACAATGGAGTATAATTTGGCAATAAAGAGAAACGATGGCCCTTGAAAATATTATGCTGAGTGAAAGAAGACGGTCACCAAAGACCACTTATTATCCATGTAAATGAAATGTCTGGAGAGGCAAATTTATAGAGACAGAAAGTAGACCGGTAGTTTCCTGGG